CACTTCGAATTTATCTTAAAATTTGTCATTCTTCTAAAACTATTCTAGAGCAGGCATATGGAAAGTATAATCCATGGGAAAGGCTTTCCCACGTCCCTTTTGACATTCTTTGGAGCCTCTCAAAGATATTTGCCAAGCCATGAAAGTTGACTGCATTTTAAAATGAATTTCCTAGGGTGATTTTTTAAAATCCACAAACCACCTCCAAATGTGGCAGCTGTGCTTGTTCTAAAATTGATGCAGCAGTGCAGGTGCCAAAAGTTCAGGTTATACCTTAAGAAACCATTGTTGCGTGGAGCCACCAAAGACTGGTCTCATTCTCCCCTTTTCTTACTGAAGTGATGATTCCATTCCTCCGTCTGTTTTTACCTCTGTTGTTGCTATTAAGAACAGTTTACTTTTCTAATGCTCAGTGTGTGCTATACTATACTTTACCCTTTTTCTATAAACAGTTATGGTCAAATATTGTTGAGCTGTTTGTCATTTGTGTCGGTGTTAATTTCTCCTTATTGTTGGAATACCACTTGCGTGAACTTTGTTGTTGATCCTTAGTATGTCAAGATGCCAGTTCCCGCTCTCACCCTTCCATACCTGTTTCTCTTTGTTCATTTTTTCTAAGTTAGGATTTATACATATTTCATGGTGAACTGAAAAATCTAGGAAGACCAGCTGTAGAAAAAAAAGTATATCTCCACCATCCTGCACACATAACGCTGTGTTTTAAGTGGACCACCCACCAATTCTGTTTTATAGGCTGTTGGAATACGGACACATAATGTGTATGTTGTGCCATTATAATTAGTTTGCCCTAGACACTTGTGAGGTTTTCACACAGTCATGAATGTAACATTTTGGAAAGGTTTGTTAGGTGATCATGTTTGGTATAGGCTCAGAATCTGTTATGAGGGTAATTAATTGTGTGAGGTTCTGCAACTGTCAGTCAGGCACTTTCCTCAGTGGCACAAAACTCACACTCATGACCAGGGATAAGTAAACATTTTACCTGCATGATGTATTTAACCTCCAGCCCAGGAAACAAGAGATGTTTTTCTTTTGAACAAGCATCTTGTGAAATGAGCTCCAGACTGGTCTCCTGTTTTCATTACAGCATGCGGTTTATTAACGCTACTGCGCTGTACTTTCTGTCTGGTTTTATATTTTGCAAAATTATCCTTCATGCAGATTATTTTTTCTTTGGTGTATTTCAACTATTTTTTGTTATAGACACTGTTACATGGATTCTTTTTTTAGTTGTACTAGCTTCTGTGAAATGTTAGCTTTATATTGGTCACTCCCCCTAAAACCCAGAAAATTTTGGAAATTTTGCATGACTCAAAAGGTGTTTCATAACACAGCCACTTATGATCAGGAAGGCTACATTTTTGTTGCCTATTCACATCAAACTGTTTTCTCCCCAAAGAGCTTTGGCCACTGTACCATTCCTGTATGTTAAAGGCAATCAATTCCATAACAAATTTATATTTTTGATCAAGAAAAGCCACTAATTGATGCTCTTCTGCAGTTGCAGAAGCATTGAATGTCCTTGACCAACCATGCAGTTATGTGTATGTGAGAGTGGGAATATTTATTTATCATATCAGAAATGAACCAAAACTACACTTGTAATGTATTTTAAAAGCACAAAGTTTAAAAACAGCATTATATTAAATGTCCTTTGACCAGTACCTGGCCACTTGGAGTGCCTCTGGTGTTGTTATAAGAAGGTCCTCCATTGTGCATGTGGAAGGGCTTGGGTTGCATTGTAATAGGCAGTGTGTGGTTTTCTGTTCTCCACACTCGCATGTCGTGGACTCCACTTTGTGGCCCCATTTCTTACAGTTGGCTCTTAAGAGTTGGAAAGAAGAGATTTTAATAGCCTTACGCCTGGAACATGCAAATCTATCTATATAAAGTAATGACTAGCAATTTTATTTGCTAGGAGGCTCAGCTACAGAATTGTCTACTTCCACAAGAAACAGCCTATTTTACTACGAATATCTTTGGGAGTCTTCTTTCCGCATCACTGCTTTTTCCAAGACAAGGAGTTTAGAAATTTCTAGATCATTCTTCCTTGTCAGGGTCACTTGTCTCCTGGTTTTTGGTAACAGGGGCTGCCTTTTATTTTCAAAACCATTATAAATGCAGCTTGAACTGGTTTTGGTCTCGCTGCTGATTATATTTTCATTATTCTGTGATTTTAGCTTTGGTTCAGAACTGTCTTGTATAAGCAGAAAGCTGATTTTTTTCATGTGCAGTAACCCATTTAGATGCTCCCAATTAACCATTGTTGCATTGGCAAGCAAGTAGCTTTGTTAGGCTTCAGCAGAAGTTGCCAATAATATACTGACTTTGTTTTATGGGGGAGGAATCTGAATAGCTTTGTCAGGAAGCTTTATTGCCACAGATCATGTTCATTAGAAAGCAGCACCATTGTGGAACATTGTAATATTTTGGCAGGTTTGAGTTCTACGCACCAAAATCAATTGAACATTAATGGTCATATTATGTCTTGTCTGATTGTCCTGATGAAATCAAGCTTGTGCATCTCCCAATGGCTTACAAAGGCAATAAAAGGATCTGGAGATACAGCCCAATATTGTTGAAATATATTTTCTCCCTAATGCAAGTTACTCAAGACACATTCTGTACCTCGATTCCATCATGTGCCATTTAATTTAGGTAAATGCAAGGCGTGTTGGATTAAGTTCGGAAAGCAACAAAAGACTAGAATATTGTGTTTTTGTTCAGATATTTTCACACCTTGCACATAGTTAAATCAGATTTTAGTAATGTTAATGCCATTGCCATGCACGTTGTTGTGATTGTAACCAGAATGCCATCATTTAATTTCATCAAAAGTGTGGAAAGACAAATGGATGGCATTAATAATTTACCATCTTTGCATAATACTGTAGTGCAGATTATTGGAGGGACTGATGGCAGAAGCAGTTAACAAATTTGAGACGCCTCCATTAGCTTTTCATTGTCATATGTTTGTGGCACTGGTTACAATGAGCTTTGCAAGAGATCTCAGTCTAGGGAACTAATTACTTGTGTTGATTGCTATCCTGATGAATAGACTCTCATTGTATCTTTCCCCCCGAAGATGAGGAGCTGTTTGTGATTCACGACTCTATGTTAGCTGATATTTGATAGTAATTTTAACAGATAAATGAAGGAAGGCAGAATGATGAAGTGGCTATCCTGTGCTCTATGACTATCAAATGCATACACATAGCCAGCTGTGTTCTGCGTTTTTTTGAAATCGCTAATGGAGAATTTTAAGTTATTAATCACGCTTTGGGCAAATGTAGCTTTGTCGTACACTTGCAGCTATCCTAGATAAATTGTACAGAATTATTTGCAAACAAAAGTCCCTTAAGCTTGTTTTTAGAATACATGGTATATAGATAATAGAAATGTGGGGCTTATGGTTAAAAGGAATATAAATTATTTACAAAATAGTGACAATTGCAGGCAGGAAGGAATGAAGTTATTCACGAGTTATTACCTGAACTGGTTTGGAGAGTGAAAAACCCATATTTTGCAGGCTTTTGTTTTTACACAATATTTTATCATCCAATATGGGTTTCAAAAGAAAAAACCTTAATGAACAGAACTCTGCAGTAGACTTGTAGTCAGTCATCTAGTCTCTAACGGGAAATATTTCCTTTTCAAAGATGGAGTAATTGAAGAAGGGAAATCTCTAGTATGGTGCATCTGTAATCATTTGCAATTTATAAATTAATCAGAGCTATTAATTTGTCAGAGCTGACAGATATACAGTGATTATTAGCTCATGAAAAAGAAATAAGATTATACTTGGTAGTTTTGGTTTGCCATTCTTGAAGTTACCATTATTTTATATCTGAAATTATACTTTTGTAATTGGAGCCTGCAGATGTTGGTTGTAGATCTCTAGTGATAGTGTTATTCTTACAGGGTTTATTATTTAACATACAATAAATTTATTTGCATATATAGTTACGAATACACCCCTGAATTGGCTGCTTTTCTAGTTTTTAGTGGTTAATATGCAGTTTTACAGCACACTAACTCACAACCATCTAACAAGATAGAAATTGGCATTTATGTATGGCCATATAAAAAAGATCTATGCATATTTGCATAACACAATATGGAAAATAAACAAATGTGCCAGAATCTTTTTCTAAATCTAAATTTTGAAAAGTGTACCTTCAATATCGCTCACCATAGAGTGTTGTTTTTAATTAAATGCAAAAATGAAACTACATAAAACAGAAATCCAATCTGATTTGTTAGAAAATAGATTGCTATTTCACTCTCCTGGAATGGTTTATTTAAAAACAGGAAATGGAAACGAAATGTATTTTCTTGTGTTGTTGTAAGCCTCGGGGGCTAAATGTAATGAATATTTTAAGAGATTATTTTAATTAAATTCCTGCACATCTAAACAGAGTAATATTTTATTATCACATACATAATCATGGAACAGAAGTATTCATTAAAGTTAACACTTTCTTGACCAAGAATTCACAGTATGATTTACTGACCTTGTGCAAAAAGGCACAAATTAGGAAGAAAAATGGAAGGGGGACAGACTTTGATTAATATAGGTAATGCTATACCATATTTATAATAGCCTTTTCCCTATTCTGGTTTATAAATGCAGTCACTGAGAAAGGTGCCCTGCTGAGGCTGAAATGAGGCTGGAATCGGAGCACATGCCACTAGAGTGTGGTGAAACTGATCACACTGTCAGCAATTCATTTCAAAATGATGTATTTAGTGCTCATTTCACCTTCCAAGGCAAAAAAAGGAGGAAAGGAGTTCCTCAGACTGGAAGGTGATATTGTTATTTTCAAGGACATACTGAAGTTAAAGATTGGAGAATGGGTTTTAGGGTGCTGTTTAAAAAGAAAAAGAAAGAGGAAACAAGGAAAGCTTTATGCAGAAATGCAGTGCTACCATGCTGTTTGATAATTGCTAACATATGTGGCTCCTCTGTTTCATTGTAGTCGTCCTCGTGAGTTCTGGCGCCTTGACTACTGGGAAGATGACTTGCGGCGCCGACGACGATTTGTGCGTAACCCCCTCGGATCGACACATCCTGAAGCAACATTAAAAGCAGCCATAGACCATGGTCAGTGTAAAATCTGCTCCTTGCCAATAGCAGCAGGTACAGTACATGGCAATGAAGCAGAGCCCTTCGTTTGTCTGTGAGAATATGAACTCTTACATTCAGGGGTCTCTTCATTGCATTTCAGACTTGTGCGTTTTAAGACCTAATTAGATCTTTATGATACCTCTCTGTGCAAGCCCTTTACATTGTGAGTTAAACTGGCCAATGATTTGAGACAAAGCTGAAATATCCCTACACTGTTTTCCTCATATTGCACTTTCCCCCACCTTATTGAAAGTTTAACTCCACTGTTCAGACCTTTACAAGCTCCTCCCCTACAAATTGCACTTTTCATTGCTATCTCATCCAGAGTAGTTTTATGTCGTGCATTTGGCCCGCCCACTGTGTTTGATTTTCTATTATGTTATTTTGTATTATTTATTTTATTTGATTGCTTTACTTTTATTGTGATGTTATTTTGTTGTTTATATTTTATGTTGCTGTAATGTATTGCTGGGCTTGGCCTCATGTAAGCTGTTCTGAGTCCCCTTTGGGGAGATGGTGGAGGGGTATAAATAATAATAATAATAATAATTATTATTATTATTATTATCCCTTTACTCCCTCAATGTGGGCTTGTGACAACCCTTACATGAGTTGTAGCAATATAGACAATACTTTCCCATGGTTTTAAAATTTAATGTCAGATTATAGTTCTGTTTATATTTTTAATATCTCTTCCTTTAATTCTATCTGTTTCCCCCACTTTTAATCTGGAAAGTAATACAAGTCAAACAGTAATGCATTCTCCAAATGCGAGGAATAAATGTAGAAATAGATATCTATATCATTAGTATTTTTCTTACGTTGCATCAGTTTGATCGTAGAAAATGTAAAACATATTTACAATGCCGAATTATGCTTTCTCTTTTATAACTCGTAAAAGCCAACTGAGCTAAATATATAAACTCTCTTACTTATCTTTGATGCTTCTGTAATCCATTTATCTTATATGTTTTCCTTTCTAGTATGCTTACTCAAATAAATCAAATGAATGTTGGTGAAAATTAGATAAAAGCTAAAATTAGATTTGCTCAGTGCCAGTCGCTAAAGTTTCATTGAATTGGTTTCCTGCCATTTTAATTTACTTTCTTTTTTTCTGTTGTTAATGTCAAATAAGTGATTTCTATTTGAAACTATCTGAGTATCGTCTCCCCACAGGAAAACATAATACTGTCATTTGAAATGTTTGTCTGGGGCCAAATATCTTAACCTTTTGCATCATTTTAAAATAGCCCTTCCTGAAGAAAAATGTCTCCAGTAGGTCATTAGCCATCTTGGTAGATGTAGCAGAAATCCTTTAAAATAAATGACCAAGGAAAGGCCAAATCTTAGCATAATGAGGCATTCAGCATTTGCTAAAGGGAAGGGGAGGTGATGGGATATAGAGTTAGTTTGGCTTCTCTATCTTTAGAACTCGGTTTACATTTTTGTGTTGCCTTTTTCACTAAGGATTTCAAACATATAAACCATTATAGGGCCCACTGTATTAACTGTAATAAACCAACACTGTCATTTATATTTTTTCTTATATTTAGAGTAATTAATATGTTTGCAGGGCCCCCTGGTGGCACAGTGGGTTACACCGCTGAGCTGTTGAACTTCCTGACTGAAAGGTCGCCAGTTTGAATCTGGGGAGTAGGGTGAGCTACCGCTGTTAGGCGCAGCGTCTGCCAACCTAGCAGTTCGATAACATGCAAGTGTGAGTAGATTAATAGGTACTGCTTCTGCGGGAAAGTAACGGTGCTCCATGCAGTCATGCTGGCCACATGACCTTGGAGGTGTCTACGGACAATGCCAGCTCTTTGGCTTAGAAATGAAGATGAGCACCACCCCCCAGACTTAATGTCAGGGGAAACCTTTACCTTTACCTTAATATATATGTAACACTAAACTATAGTAGTAGTGTCTTCAGTATATAGTTTGAATCTTCTGGTATGAATTTGATGCAGGTTTATGGAATAAGTTAATATTTATCGCTGATAACTCTTCATGTTTTTAGCAAATTGTAGTATTTGGTTTCTCTCTCTCTCTCTGCTAAATGGAATTGCTGTGCACAGTCCTGTAGTAGTGCACAGTACTATAGTATACATTAATTCTGTGTCAGTTTTTAAAGACTAAAATATAACTGCCAATTGCTATAATGGCATGTGACAAAAGTTTTCCAAAACACTCTCACCTTGTCATTTTTATTAGGTATCCATTTCCCAATGACATAGCATGCAGGTGACAAAAATAATGTCAAGCAAGACCAATTAAAATATATTCAGGAAAGTATTGTATGCTAGGAAGCGATGACGAACCACACTTATTTGGAAGACTAACAATGTTGCATTTTACCTAAATTATCATAGTTTTTTTAACAAATAAAATAAAGGACACTCTATTTTGAAATGAAATAATGGATACCAAATATTTCTCTGGACTTGATCCTGCCTTATCAGTTGGCCTTAAGTAAAAACTAGTGAACATTTTTGTAACTTTAGAACAACAAACAATACAATTATGCAGCTGGGATTCAACAAACTATTTAAGCGAGCCTAAAGGCTTGCATACATTCAGTAGGATTATTATTCTGTTCTTACAAAAGAAAGCACCCTGTTTTACTCAGAAAAATCCTCATACTGCATCCCAAACTGTCCTTGGAATGTAGTTTCAACCATCATTTACCATGTAGGGCATTTTAGAAGCAAAGATTGAAATGGCCCTTAGGCACAGATAACTATTTGTATCTCTGGTTGTCAGCCAGCAAATTTAGATGGTAGAGCTTTTACACAGTTTAAAAAATCTTACTCCATTATTTGTGAGTTTTTGTTTTGTTATGTTTTTATTTTTGCTGACTAGTAGAAACCGTTGAAACAATGGTTCATAAAAGATTTGCACTGATGATTCATTCACTCTCCTATAAAAGAGAAAGGGGTATACATTCTCTATGATATCTGATAGTTTTATACTGCAGATTTCACACACACACACACACACACACACACACACACATTCAGGTCACCCTTTGCACTGCTTAATTTTTAAATTAAACATTTGTTTCCTTATGTTCATTATCATTAAAAGATAATGTTCTGGTGAGCAAAGCAATTCTTTTGAAGTACCTGCTAGTGCATGGAAAAGATATTGTGAACGAGGAGTAAGAGGACAAATTTTTTTGCAGCTATTTTCAAGGTTGTGTTGTTCAGGGGCTGTTTTCATTCTAATACTGCCTATATAGGAATAGATTAGATGGAAGGTATTTGATATTTGAAAGCGGAGTCACAGCATTAGGATATCTGCTGTAAGGAGATTCATGAAGCTGGGACAGTTTTGCTTTTGAAGTTCAACCATGAAGGTGCATGGAGGACATCTTCAAGAGGATAGTTAGGTGAGGGACATTATATGGAGTGGGGCACTAGTAGATTAAAGAGCAGGGGTTCTCAGCCTGTGGGTACCCAGATGTTTTGGCCTTCAACTCCCAGAAATCCCAACAGCTGGTGAACTGGCTGGGATTTCTGGGAGTTGTAGGCCAAAACATCTGGGCACCCACAGGTTGAGAAACATTGCTAAAGAGAAATACAGAATTAACTATGTAAACAGCAAATAAAAAGTATAACATCTCGTACAGATATGATCTGAACTAGCTATGTATTTAGCTTTTGAATGTGTGTTTCTGTACTTAAGGATGTCACTAGAATTCCCTATGGAATTATTCTTCTGCCAATAATTAATTGTAGAGTATTCTATTTCAATTATATATACTCTGTTCTGTAATCTGTTATGTCAAGGCAATTGGATTCAAGCCAATTCTGACCCATTTTGTTCAATGGGGAACTGCATTGGCTTAACTCCCAAGTCTTTCTGATCACCTGCGATGTGGAATGTAATCATCTGAAAAATTGATTATTTATTTTAACCTAACAAATTCTATTTAGCTTGTTTTATTGTTTAAACTCAATCTCATTTTGAAATGCAATATGAAAATGTGAATCTCAATAAGAGAGCATTGTAAAGATTATCAACTGTGTGCTCTCGCAGTTGACATAGGCCTTAGTATACACCACTGTCATTCTGGATTATAACATTCATATTGTAGAAAGGAACATTTCAAACTAAAGAAGATATAATTTTTAATTATAGTTAGTTTTGTAATGTTTTACATTAGTGTTGTTTTATAGATTTTATATGTATAGACTTTATGTGTTTTAATGTGGGGTAGATTGTTGAATGGCATCAAATTGTGCCATAGGTTAGCTCAGTGGTTTCAACCTGGGGTCCCCAGATGTTTTTGGCCTACAACTCCCAGAAATTCTAACAGCTGGTAAACTGACTGGGATTTCTGAGAGTTGTAGATCAAATACATCTGGGGACCCCAGGTTGAGAACCACTGGGTTAGATGCTCTGAGTCCCTCAATGAGGGAGAGAGGGTGGGATATAAAACAAAGAATAAATAAATAAATAAATAAATAAATAAATAAATAAATAAATAATATCACCTCTCATTCAATTTAATGCAATGAGCCTCAGTTTTTTAAAAAAATCTTTATTACTGTCATAGACCAGCATAAGGAGAGAGGGTTACAGTCTCATAAAAGCATTGTATATTGAAATCTAAAAGGCTAGAAAACAGAGCTAAGGCACAAAACTGTTTAGAAAAGGGGGAAGAACTAGCAGGGGATGGAGAGGGAGGAAAATTGATGGAGGGTAGGGCACAAGTCTAGGGAGTGAGGGGGCACTAATTTATATTTCAATTAGCTGATGGTTACATTGCTAACTTTTGGAGCCAGTCATCACACGGTGGATTTTAAGCGCTGCTGCACAGAACTTGGCAACATTACGGGGTTATAACTGAATTGGTGTCTGAAAGCAGCAGGGTGGTGTAGAATTGTCTGAGCAGCCTGGGTAATTGTATATCAAAAGTAGGATGAGCCTCAGTTGGGGAAAGGACTGCTCCCACAAAGAGAATTCAGCCCTTTCCAGCTTACAATTTGAAGAATTTGAAGGGATCCAAA